ACAGCTGCTCCAGTCCCACTGCCGCTGTTTCTCCAAACTGCCGAGAAGCTAATGGGTAGATTCAAGCCCCAGCCCTGCTGACAGGGCCCACTGTGAAATGCAGTAAGTTTCTGTCCTATAAAGGTCAGTTCTGGAAACTTCTGCTTTAAAGGCATTGTTCTTACCAAGAATTCATTTTAAAAAATTATATATATATATATCTCTCTCTCAAGATGTTCACATAGTAAGCATGGAGTGGGAGGTGTAGAATTGGAGGGAGACAGACTCTGAGTATGAACCATGTTCTGTGGGAAAAGGGAATATGGAAGGGTTAATTTTGAAGAGAAGGGTATTCAAGGAAGACTTCATGGAAGAGGCAGCCTTTGGTCTTAGCCTGAAAGGTGGAGGAGGATTTTCATGGACTGAGATAAGAATAGTGGGAGTGGGCTTTGTAAGAAGGGCAAAACCTTGAGAAAAGGCACAGCTGAAGTGCCAAAATAGACACTGTGTTTAGGGAAAAGTGAGTTCTGTGTGGCTACAGCAGAGGCTTGTGGCAGGACTTGGTAGATGAGGTTAGGGTAAACTCACAAGTTTTTTTTTTTAATCCTCACCAGAGGACATTTTTTTCATTGCTTTTTAGAGAGAGAGGAAGGGGGAGAGAGAGAAACATCGATCAATCCTTCCCCGACCACTGTACACACCCAGACTGAGGACCAAACCCACAACGTATGCACGTGCCCCACCTGGGAATCAAACTGGCAACCTTTTGGTTACAGGATGATGTTCCAACCAACTGAGTTACACTAACCAGGGCAAAACTCACTAGTTTTGAGTGTGGGTTACAGGAGGTCTGGGGTCTGAGCTTTATCTGATGGATATGAGAAGCTGGGAGAGGGGTGGTTTGACTCTTACCGCTACAATTCAGCCAATCCTAGGTGGCTGGGGAGTAACAGCCTCACTTTCCAGATCATTCCTCACGTGGACACTCCCAGGACTCTGCTCGGCCGAGACCCCTGACACCCTCACTCTTTCTTCCCCTTCTCCCCACCCCCCACCCTGGTTCACCCTGGTGTTCTGACCAGACAAGGAGGATTCTGGGGACTAACCAGGCCTGAGCAACCTGCCCAAGGTTCTGAAACAGTGGCCAGGGCTCTTTCCCAACACCCAGCAGCCCCGGTTTAATTCTGCAGTGGGGCTCCAAGCGACTCCCCCGGTGCCGCCATGCTAACGCGCCCAGAGCCTCTCCCGCCTCCATCGCTATGTCCATCTCCTCAGACATCGGCAGGCGCGTCCAGCCCACAGTGCCTCCTGAGACTGACCGTTTAGGGCGCTGGGGTGGATCTGCCTAGGACAGCAGCGGTGGGTGTTTGTGGCTCCCCCGGAGGTAGCTCATTCTCACACTCCCCTGGAAAAGGGCGCTGGGCCCGGGGAAGCGATGTTCCCCCACTACTCTCAGAGTTCACTAATAACCACTATCATTTTTACAGGGTATCTACTGTGTTCCAGGCACTGAGCTGTAAACGTGCCACACAAAGTTTCTCACTCTCACGTTCAAGTCTCCTCTCAACAGGTGAGGAAATTCAGGCTTCAGCAGGATAAGTGACTTGCCTATAGGCAGGGGGGCATTGAAGGGCCAGAATATGAACTCAAATTTGTGTGGTTCCATAGTAATCTGCCAATCAAAGCCGGTCATCTAACCTTTGATAGTTCAGTGGCTCTCACCACTACTGGCTTCGCGAGCCTGTGCCAGGTGGGACTCGTTTCTGCTCTATATTCCCATGGGCTCAGGGGCTGGAGCAGGCCTGTCACGGGGCTGGCTCCAAGGGGTGGTTCTGCGCTACTTCATCAGCATGTCTCACGTTTATATGGAGCCATTCTTGGCCTTAAGAAACTCTGCTTTCATAGAGCTACCCCGATAGCTCTTGGCAGAGGGAGCTCTGGTGGGAAGGCAGGGCTGAGGGTGTGACCTCACATCCATGATTGTGTTGGCTACTTACAGACAAGAGCAGGCAAGGCCGATGCGACCCCATCGCATAGCTGAGGAAATGGAGGCCCAGCGAGCTAAAGTGACATGCCTAAGGTTGCTGAGCCTGGGGTCAAGGTCTCCAAAGGGCTCTTTTAGTTAGTTTCTACTTGATTGCCCATCCTAAAAACCTTTCAGGGAAAAAGGGAAGTGCATATATTCACACACCAAACAATAAATAAAGGCAGTAATAATTAGTACTGACCGAGGGACATTTGAGGGAGGGTCTCAGCCACGTCTGCCCTGCTGATTGCCCCAGTCCCCCACCCTCACCAGGGCTGGCTAATTGCAGGAAGTCCATTCACTCTGAAGCGGGGGTGAGGGCCACTGTGATGACTTCCCCCTCAGAGAACGGTGCGTGCGCGGAGGAGTCACACTGGATGAGAACCGCTGACTCTTCTGTAATCAGCTCCAGCGGCTCCTGCTCAACACCCGACTGACCGGGCCCAGAAAGGCCTTCCTGCGTATAATGAGGCTGGGCAGGAGGGAATGGATGGAAATTTGTAGGGCTCACCAGGGAAGGCTGGCTCACAATCTGCCTTAGCTCCAAGCCCCAGGCAGGGGGGACTCCAGAGTTAGATGATTTCTGTAAGTGCTAAGTCCCCCAAAGTTCAAGGGCAGGAAGTCATTTGCATCCCAGAGGAGTGGAAGAGAGGCAGTAGCCTGGCTTCCAGATTGTTGGTGCTCCAGCCTGAGGGGCAGTGGGCATGCAGACACCAGCCTCCTTAGGCTCTCCCAGCATCCAATTCCTCCTCCCTCCAAGGAGCAGCGCCCAGGCAGATAGTAGGAGGTAAAGAATGGGGAACAGGGAGGTGGGACTGCCCGCAGGCCCACAGACAGTGTACACAATCAAACCATACTCATCTCAATGACCCCCCCAACACACACACACACAGCCCCTCCCTGAGCCTACTTTACCTCATTTCTAACCGGATGGGTGTGCCCTGACTGGGTCCATGGAATCTGCATAGGAGAAATCAGTTCATCTCCCTCTACAAACTCATCACGTACAGATGGAGGAACTGGGGCCATGAATGTGCCCAAAGCCACAGACCGGCCCCAGCAGCCAAGCCGTGACTGGGGCCCGCATGCCCCACCAGCAGTCTGGTGTGGTCAGTTCACTTCAGCCTTAGTCGCCGGAGCTATGTGAGACTTCACTCCCGAACAGCTCTCACCTGAACCCCAAGCCCAGGGCACTTCATTTTTCTATGGAAGTTATGGACAAAGCTCACATCAATGGAGGCAAATCAGAGTCAAACTTGCAGGAGAAACAGATTGTTTCTTTTGGAGATGCCACTGGAACTAATTTTCACCCAGTTTATCTGCACTGGGGAGGAGGAAGAGGGCATGGAAGTGAGTTTTGCTTTGTAGACCTGCCCACAAGGCACTGTCGTCAGGCAGGGCCACACTCCTGCAGGTGCCAGGGCTGTCTTACAGGGCCTCCACCTCGGCAGCGCGCTGGCCTCAAGCAGGCCGCATGCAGACTAAATGCACCGCATCTCCGAGGAGGTGCCCCGGGAGCAGTGTCTGTGAAGCTCCCCAGGCGGCTCCAGTGGGCAGCCCAAGTGGAACACCATCCCCTTCTCACAAAAGTGAGGCCACTGACCAGCAGCCTCGGCCTCACCTGGGAGCTTATGGGAACTGCAGATCCTCAGGCCCTTCCCTATGTCTATGGAATTAGAACCTTCACTTTAACAAATCCCACTGGGGATTTCTAAATTCACTAAATTCTGAGAGGTGCTGAGGCAAGATCCTTTATCCCATCTCTACACCTGAGAGCAACTTTGCAAGGCAGGTGTCCCATTCCCCAGATGAAGAAACTGATCCTGAGAGAGGTTAACTTGCTGGACCAAGGTCACAGAGTTGGTGAGTAGGACAGCCAGGATGTGATCCTGGGCTGGTTCCAAAGACGAACACTTTCTACTGCACAGACCACTTCCTACAGTGTAATTAGGCCACGAGGGACCCCTGAGTTTTTGGGTCCTGAGACTCACTGGGCACACCCCACCTTTGAGCAGGATTTCACTTCCAGCGCCGAGTTCCCTAGCATCAAACCTCATAAAGACCAGCATAACTCATAAGGAAATACAAACAGTAAAAGGACACATGGGGAAAAGGTTCACTCTCCTTAGTAATCAAAGAAATGCAAATTAGAGCAACATTGAGGAGCCATTTTCTACCTATCTAATTAGCAAAAAAAATTTTTTTAAAAAAAAGAATGTTAACACAGAAATAGGTACATTCATACGCAGCTGGTGGCAGTATAGATTTATCTAACTCTTGAGGAAAGTATTATGGCGACATCCACCAAGAGCCATAAATAATTATGACCACTGCCCCTGGGAATTCACCCTAAGGAAATCACTCAGTAGGAGGGGAAAAGCCGTCATAGGGAGATGCTCATTGCAGTGTTGCTGGGAGCGCTGGACACGACTCAGAATTCGTCCGGAAGGGAAAGGCTGAGTAAACTGGGGTACCTCAGCTCCTGCAGCGTTACGCAGCCATAGAAAATGATAATTAAGAAGCCACAGCAACTGTGGGTGAAAAAAAGCAGAATACTAAACTGTCCCTGTGCACTGTGGTTATTATGATGTAAAACTACAGATGTTCCATAACTTACGATGGGGTGATGTCTTGATAAACCCATTGTAAATCGAAAATATGGTAACTCAAAGAGGTATTTAATGCCCATAACCTACCGAACATCACAGCTCAGTCTGGCGTACCTTAAACACGCCCAGAGCGCTCACAATAGCCTGCAACTGGCCCAAATCATCTCACTGTCACTGCGAGCATCCCGGGAGAGTATCGTATAGCAGCATATCACTAGCCCAGGGGAAGATCAAAATTCAAAAAAGCAGTTTCTATTAAATGCATATCACTTTTACACCACTGTAAAGTCAAAAGTTATTCCACTGGGAGGTAGCAGGAGGGGGCCCCTCCTCTTCTGTGTGGGAGTGGGGGGCACAGGAACCATGGGAGATCCCTCCCACCTTACCATGAAGCCTGGGGCACAAGTGCAGCTCCCAGTGATGCTGTGGCAGTCGGCGCCGTTCTGACAGGTGCAAGGCAGCTGGCAGCCATTGCCATAGTAGCCGGCAGGGCAGGACTCGTTGCAACGGTGGCCAGACCAGCCCGGCTGGCAGGTACAAGCTCCAGTTACTGGGTGGCAGCTGAGCAGATGAGAGGACAGTCTGTCAGGGAGGCAGGCATGTCCCACCCTCTGCCCACACCAGGTCTTTATGCCTCATTTGTTTGTCAGAAGATCCCAAGGCCCTGTGGTCTTAGTATCCCCAGGAAACTGAGGCTCACGATGGTTATATAATTTGCCTAAAGTCACAGAGCAAGGAAGTGGCAAAATCAGGATTAGAATACAGGTCTCTGGACTCCCAAACAAGTGCTCTTTTATATTAAAAATACACAGAGGCCCAAACAGAAGGTAGCATTTTTAGTTCCCTTATGGATTATGAGGTCCAGATCTTTACCTACTCTGCACCCAAGGCAGATGCCTGGTGTGAGGGCAGGCACAAGAGGGTTGTCATGAGACCCCGTGGTATATTGGAGGTACTCAGCGAACATTTGCTGAGTTAAAATGAGACCTCAGGGCGGATGGGGCCTCCCCTCTGTGGCAGTGTCTACACTGGAGGGGTCCCCTCTGTGCTTTGCCAGAGCTCCCAAGAGCGAGGGACATTGTCTCCATCCCCCATCTGCCTAGGCCAGAGAAAGGACTGCCTGGATGGAGGCCGGAGCTGCCTGTCATGACCTCTGGAGGGGATGCAGGGCATGGTGCTGTGTTACTCAGAGCTTCTGCAAGTGTGTAATTGACCGATGGCCCCAGCTGTTGGCTCTGAAATCCATCGCTGCACTTGCTCAGAGGCCACGCTCTCCCTGGGCTGTTCCCAGCCAGAGCACAGTATGGATAGTACAGCCAGAGCACATTCTTGGGAGACCTGGGACTCCTTGGATGGGCAATTTTGGTTTAAAGACTTCCTGCCTTACCAAACTTTCTTAGAACTGGGCTGCAGTCTAACACTTCCCACCCAGGCTTCCTCGAGTCCTTTCCTTCACACGGGTCAGAACTGCATTGCCGCCTGATGCTCCCTCAGCCTATGCAGTCCCCTCTGTGTCCCCTCCGTGTCCCCTCCGTGTCCCCTCACAGCTGTCTCCCTGGCAAATCTCTTTTACTTGGCATCTCCTTCTGGCAGGACTGAGACTAAACTCCAGAGAAGATGCTGGATGGTAGAGACAAGCGTCCTAGACGCCCTGTGTTACCTGCCTCCCTGCGCCGGAGGCACCTGCCGGGATACGGTTGAGAGAAGCATGCTCTGGACTGGTGGGAGGAGCCCGGGTGCAAGTCTTAGTGCCGCTAAGCTCCGCAAGGACATGGGATTTGCCTCCCTGGGTCACTGGTGGATCTCCAGTGCTGGGCTCATATTCACGGCCCGATTAAATATTTGGGAATGAATAGTCCTTTTACTGTAAGTAATTATTTTCTGTGTCTGTTGACTTGTTTATCATCCGTCTCCCCCACCAGGTGACAGCTCCGTGGGGGAGAGCCTTTTGTCTATTTCACCTCTGTATTGTACCCCAGCGCCCAGCAGGGTCCCTGGCACACTGGAGATGCTCAGGACATATTTGGCGGATGAGATAATGAACAAACTAATTGTGTGAAGCCCAGCCAAGCTATTTCTCTTCTGGGAGCGCTGGTTTTCTCACAGAAAATGAGGGATGGACAGGAGCAGGCACTTCCTGAATAGGAAGTGTAAACAGCTAATAATCATTTTGTAAAACGTTGGATCATTAACTAGTCTCATTAATCATCAAATCAAAATAACAATTGGCTATCGCTTTTTCTCTATCATCATAACAGTAAAAAAAAATTGTTTTTAAAGGAACAATATTCAGTGCTGGTCAAGGTTTCTGGAAAGCAATCTGAGGCTATGTATCAGGAGTCCTCCTAAAAATATTGAAACCCTTTGGTCTCATAATTCCATTTCTAAGAATCTATTCTAAGAAAATAATCATAGTTGTGGGGAAAGATTTATGCACACATATGTTCCCTGAAGCATTATTTATAACAGTGGAAAATGGAAGCAATTTAAATAAAAAATAATATGTGACTAGGCTGTTAAAGCACCAGGCACTTTACACTACACCTAATCCTCACATCGGCCTGTGAGTTAGGCGTTGGAGCCTCTGTTTTACAGATGGTACTCGGAGGTTATGCAACTTACCCAAGGTCACACAGCTAAGTCAGTGGCAGCTGGGATTCAAACCCAGGTCTGTGTGACCGTGTTCTGTCCACTGCCTCATGCTGCCTCTGACAACAGGGTGCTGGTGAAATGAATTATGACAATTCACAGGAAGGAATGTTAAAGAAGCATTCAAATGTTTTCCAAACTATTTAATGATATAAGGTTAAGTGAATGAGCAAATCATATGCAAAGACATGATCTAAAATATGAAAGAAAGTGATATAGACATATACGGACACGGATGATGAATGAACAAATTGCAACAAAATGTTTTTTGTGCTCCCCTGGGAGCTGAGGAATTGTAAGTGAGCCTCAGTTTTTTTTCTTTAAATTTCTATGTATTCTCTGACTTTCTCAAACTGAGCATTTATTATATTTATAAACATATACAAAACAATAAAAGTTATAAATATGTAAGAAAAAGAAGAAAGCATGTAAGAGATGAGGGTTTGAACACTTCCTGATCTGGAAATTCTGAAATTTTCCAGAAAAATCCCTCCCTGAGCCCCACACTTAAGGGGAGAAATGGTGGTTTGTATGGGTGCCATGGGACAGGAGGCCCCATTTGGTGGCCCTGACCCTTAGACAGACAAGGCAGGGGACTCCTCTTCATCCCAACACTCCAAGCAAAGCCCTCAGGCATGGCCTTTCTCAGTCCCAACTTTCCAGGGGCCTCCTCTGAGGTTTTGGTTTAGAGGGACCAACCCAGTCACTGTGGTGGAGACTGAGACGCTCGGACCCAGGACCTAGGAGGCGGTGCTGGCTGCGGTGATCAGCTCTGACCTGCCAGGGGGGTTCTGAAGGGTCTCAGGCGCCCTTCTGCGCTTCCCATCAATAGAATCTCTTACGGCGGGTCCTTGCTCTTGTGGGAGCACCACCCTATGAAAAGCATGCTGGAAACACAGTGAACCAGCAGATGTTGACCTCTGAGCATTCCTGCATTTCCCATTTTCCATCCACCGCAGTTGTCAGCGTTTTGGCTGCTCAGAGGTATGTATAGGCACCAATTTTACTTTTTACCCTATTAACCAGAAAGCTCAAACTCAAGCCTGAAATTATTTCTGTCTGTCTCCTTTCATGTCCCTAAAAATTTTATTTAAAAAACCACGATCTCTACTTTCTTAATTTGGTCATTTGTCCTGCTTTATAAAAACTCCAAAATCCCTTTGAAAAGAGAGCGGGGAATGACTGCTGACTGACTGGGACTGAGACCTGCGATCGCCATGTTTTCGGTACCTTCTTCGCAAGTCCCTGCTCCCCTCCTCCCAGCGGCGGCAGAGCCGGTCCCTTGTCACGAGTGACTGCAGGTTAGGCTCAGGCAAAAGCCATGAGCACTGGTGTTCAGGTTTGCTGATTCTTTTTCCTCTCCTTTCTCCCATTTTTCCCCAGACACAGATTAATCACAAGTTAATGTGAGCCGAAAGCTGAACAATATAGGAATCTTTTCAGGGTGGATTTTTGTGCCTCTTTTTCTGGCTGCTCTGAGATTACTATCAATGCTGCATCTGTTGGCTAAATCAAATCTTTCAAAGGTAATACATGATCACGGCTGCTAGAATTCATCTATGACAATCCAATTGTGGAGGGAACCTGGAAGAGGCCCGGCACACAAGCGCCCTCTTTCTCAAGGTCACTCCTTTATGAAGGAGGATGGTTTCTTTGTGTGTGCTACACAAAGGGAATGAAGTGTTGAGGAATCTTTTCAGCCTCTTCTGCCTTCCCGGGGCATGTGGGCTCAACTTCTTTGAAGCAGCCTCTCTAGAGGGGCCCAGAGTAGACAGGCTGGGGCTGGCTTGGTGAGGAGGGCATTCTTTGGTTGGCGACTGGGAGTGCTTGTCTTCCTAGTAAAGATGCCTAAGTGCTCGCCAGCCGGCTTGTCGGGGGGCTTGCTTGTCAGCTCTTACACCTGAACTAAGTAGAAGCCCGTGGGGGTGGGGAGGAATGAGGCTAGGATTCTGGGGGGTCCCATGCCCCATCTCTCGGGAGTTGGGTAGAGGCTTCACTTTCAAAGACCACAAGCGCCCTTTCTCCCCCACTGGGCTGATGGAAGGGGATGGACAGACTGGGAAATGGAGACACAAAGAGGAGAAGCACGGGTATCTGGACATTTGCTCACACAGAGGTAGTTCTGAGGTCAGGACTCAGGGGCCCCGGGCCCTGCCAGAACCTGCAGCTGACCTGCTTTGGGATTAGGAGTTACAGAGTTATCCCTCTGCCTTTCTTGGATCCCAAGAGAAGGGACAAGAGTTCATGGGAAGGGAGAAGTGCCCTGTGTCCACACAGAGGAAGAGAGCTGTTGTCCGTGTCCATGCGAGATTTTGGTTAGACCAGAGGCTCTCGGCTTTGGGCACTTTTGCCTCCTCCTACCTCACCAGGAAACATTTCTGGGTTTTAGAACCTGGGGACAGGGTGTGGCTACTGGCACTGTGTGGTCAGAGGCCAGGGAAACCACTAAACATCCTAAAACGTACAAAAAAGAATTATCTAACCCCACATGCCAATAGTGGTGAGGTTGTGAAACCCTGAGTTAGACTGAACCTGGCGTGTTGGAGTCTCAGTCACTGGGGCAGTGTGCCAAGAGAAAGGAGTGAAATATGTTTTGAAATATAGGGCAGACATCAGCTCAAGGGCAGAACCACCTGCTCTGTGCCAGGCACTGTGGGACGCTGAGGCTGCGGAGATGCGCTAGCCAGGCACCCCTGAGTGGAAGGGGCCCAGGCTGTGAGCAGGCAGTCACACAGACTCTGAGGAGCCTAGCCTCGGGGGTTGGCTGCCAGGTGCTCGAGAGCCCCCACTTCTAAGCAGCGCTACTGCCTCCCAGTCTCTGAAACATGACACGCATTAAAGACAAAGCAAATAACCATTAATATTGGATGGGCTGAGATTAGCGACAGAGAAGAGGGAGTCCTTCCAGATTAATAATGCATTGAGGACTCCTTCAGAGAAAGGATAAATTATGCAGGGCATGGCTGCTCAGGCGTGGGAGGAAAACAATAGCTCTTTAATTTGGGGGTTGGTTGGATTTCTGTGGCAGGGACTCACCCTGCATTGGACCTCAGAAGGAGCCTGGCTTTCTGTCCCAGGGAGGGTCCTCCCTTGGCTTCCCAGCAGGGACGGGGGCTCCTGATGCTGTCCCATGTGGGACCTCTATGTTTAGAGCTTTGGAGCTCTCACCCTGCCTACCAGCCCAGATGCCACCTCCTCCAGGAAGCCTTCCCGGACCAGCATAGCAGTATCCAGTGGGGCTTTCTTCACACAGCCCTGGGACACAGTGACTTGAGCATAATGTGGGCTAGCCATACACATTTCATTGATTCTAAGATGCACTTTCTCCCACATTTCCGAATTTCTGATATTGAGTGTGCTATACAATCAATGGTACATCATGGTTCAGTCAATAGTGTTTTCCTTTTTAGTAGTCCATAAAATAAAGCTGTGCCTCACCACTGGGTTTGAAGAAATATCGTAGAAGGTGCTCAGTGTGTGTGACTGCTCCAAGCCTGAAGACCGGAGGGCTGAACTAGTGATGAGGGACCCTTTATTTCCTTCTTGCAGTCCAGGCTGGCAGGCACTCAGTGTTTGTTGAATGAATGACTGAGTGAATGAGTCCTCAGCTCACATATAGGCCAGCTCTGTTGGCTCCGGGGCCCCCTACAAAAGTCCCCTTCCTAGCGCCCCACGCTTGCAGACAGCACCACCCCAACCGCTCAGTTCCAGGGACCGAGGACTGACGCAGATTTTGTCTAAGCCATAGCACACTCCCTAAGATGCCTCTGCTTCCAGTAGCCAGAGGCTCTTGGGTAATTTGTGGAGAATCAAAAGCCGGAAATGAAGAGGGGCCTAGGCTAAGTCCTGGCTGTCCCAGAGATAGGGCTGCGAAGCAGAGATATCTCTAGTCTGAGAACAGCTTCAGCGTACACTGCCCTGAGCAGCCAGTCCTCCTGAGCATCCTGCAGGTCCAACAGGAGAAGAAAGACTCTTCTCACCCTCTACCACCCAGACAAAAGGCAGCCACATAAAGGGGGGCATTTGTCTGGGGCCTCTGCCTCACTTATTACCGGAGGGCTGTACCAGCTGCTGTGCAGTGGGAAGTGAAGGGCACTGGGAGAGGTGGCCTAGGGCGGATTCAGGCTCCTCTGGAAGCAGGGGGGAGCCAGCTTCTGTCCAGGCGTCCCCAAGCCCCAAAGGACACAGACTGCAGGAAGAGGTTGGCTCCAAGCCGAGGCCCTAACAAACGGCCTGCCCTCTGTCCCTCCTGTTCCTCCACCCTAGCTAAGGCCTGCTGGGATAGCCCTCTCCAGGCCCAAGGGATGCCACACTGATTTTTAAGGTCCCTCCTAGTACTGGCCCTCTGTGACACCTGCTTCTGTCTTAGCAGTCCTGTCTCTGGTTCCCTTGAGCTTGGGAGAACTTTTGGTTAAATGCAGAGCATATAGACAATGCCTTCAGAGCCCATGGCATCAGAGCCAACCATCCTGGCCCCCCAGGGCTGTGTGACCTTACCCCCAGCCTGTCCCCCTGGAAGGTCACCAGGCTCCCTTCCTGCTCCTGAATGTTGGGGTCTCAGGTCAGCCCTTTGGCAATGTTGACAGCCTAGAATGGTAGACAGTGGCAGATGACCTGGGTCCCGGTCCCACCTATCTGGGTGGCCTGGGGCTTTTCCTTCTTTCCATCAAATTGGTCAGCAAAGGTGGTTGCAGAGGTCCCAGCTCTTCCACTGTCCTACCTGGATGATTGGGCTGCAGGTGCGGGTGGGGAGAGGTCTGTGCCCCGAGAAGCCCTCTCTCCACCAGGGCCCACCCCGCTCCTACCCCCAGTTCATACCTGATGGTGTTGTCAGCATCACAGGGGCAGGGCAAGGCGCAGCCTGGGCCATGCAGGCCCTCGGGGCACAGCCGCTCCTGGCAGCGCGGGCCCTTGTAGCCAGGCTCACACTCGCAGGCGCCGGTGGTGGGCGAACACTGGCCCCCGTTGTGGCAGTCACAGCGCTGCGAGCACTGGAAGCCGAAGGTCCCGAAGGGGCATTCCTCTTGGCACCTGCGGGGCAGCAGAGCGGGGCTGAGGCTGTGCCCCGCAGCTGCCCTTCCGGGTCTGCCCAGCATGCGCCCCCCAGCCCCCAGGACGGGGCCTGGGGTGCTGCACCCCCCACAGCCTCCCCCAACGCCTCCGTCTTCCACAGAAAGTATTCAGTGGCATAGTCACCCCAGTCCATTTCCCTGTTCATGCCTGGTCCCCTCAGTCCCTTGGCACTGAGTTTGTACTATTATATTTCATTGACTATAGGCCTATTTTTTTTTTCGTTTTTGGTTGCTGTAAAACATATGTAACATAAACATTACCATTTTCACCATTGTAAGTGTACAGTTCAGTGGCATTAAGTACATTCATGTTGTCGCGCAACCATCACTACCATCCACCCATTTCCAGAAGTTTCCTCTTCCCAAAGTGAAACTTCTGTATCCATTGAACACTAAACCTCGTCTTTTAAAAATAGTTAACATCTCTGAAATCGGATCATAAAACGGATGGCGTGTCACAGTGTAATATCAATGTTTTTCACTCTTAGCAGAGTATAAAATAATAATGCATCTTACAATCAGTGGCATCTTAGATTCGGTGAAATGGGGCCATTTCTTTTCTATTCACTGTCTCTGTTGTTTTCGAGTCTTTTGGGTAGGTATACAGCCTCCTGCTCTCATGCTGTCAGTGGGTACAAGAAGCATCCTCTTTCTTCAGACTAGAGAGTTCCCCTCTCCCCCGCATCAGGCTGGAGAATTCTTCTTCCTCGGACTGGAGGTCCCCCAAGGCAGGGGCTGAGCCTCTCCCACCAGCTGGTGAGCCCCTGCCCATCCCAGGACTGGGTCCTCTTTGTGTCCCGCATCTGCTCAGGCCTGGTGCTTGGCGCTCCCAGCATCATGGCGATTATTGGACTCAGACTCACAGCCATTGGTTGGGGGTCCTCTGTGGGAGGGCGTGACCCCTGCTGCTCACTGCCTCACTTCCTGGACTTGCCAGCACCCCTTACCCCATCCCAGGGCTATTTCCCACAGGGTGCAAATTCATTGTCACAGCAACTGGATCCTGACCAGACAGGGGGAAACCTGGGGGGCCTAGAGAGTAAAAGAGGTGGCCGACTCCTGTGTCCCAGAGATCCCTGTCCCAGCGCTGCTCCCACAGTGCGAGAATGGAGACCCTACTGCTCTGAGCTCTGTTTCCTCATCATACGATGTGATGACAAGAACTAAACCTCTCCAGGTTGTGTGATTATTACATGAGACAATGTGTATAAATGTTCAGAAAGGTGTCCCATGCATGGTAAGGGCTCAGTAAGAAATGTTATTTATTATTATTACTCTTGTAAGTATTGCTTTTTGTAGTTCTCATAACAGAGCCCATCTGATTTTCTGTCTCAGATTCTTGTGTAAAAAAAGGCTCAAAGTGAATGATTCCAAAATGTTAACAGTGGAGTAGGCTTAGGGAATTAGAAATGTTTTAATTGTCGTGTTTCTCTACTTTCCAGGCTTTCTATAATAATCAGAGGTAGGGGAGTGGACAAGGGAGGTAGCAGCAAAAGGTGTTTAAAAAAATACAGCCCTAGTTTCTTTATTAATCTTGGAGAGTCTTGAGTTGGAAGCAGTGTCCTCCACAACAGGGCTGGGAGAGCTATGTCCGTGACCTCGGTGGCCTGTCATGAGGGCAAATGGCCAGACCCCAGTGATGCAGTCGGGCCAGCCCGTGAGTGGCTGGGAGATGGAGCAGCCAGTGTCTGGACACATGTCTTGGCAATTTTGCATTGGGGTGTCTCTGCTTGTCTTCTGTCCTTGTTGCGTTGAGGCCACAATGGCAGGAAGAGGAGATGGTAACTGGGGTTAAGCCTTCAGGACTTCCCTCATGGAGAGACGCTACCCATTCTCACCTCTCAGCGCCACTGTGGCGAAGGGAGGGCTCTGGCAGAAAGGCGGGGGCACGGGTGGTAATAATAAAGACTACAGTCCCAGGTACTGCACAGAGAGGGGCTTCCAGCTGCTTGGGTCCCAAAGGCCCCCAAAGCAGCAGAGAGTCCCATCACCCTCACTTTGGAGTTGAGGAGCCTGAGACACGGACAGGTGCAATGGCTGTTCAAACCCCATAAAGCCAGCGAGTGGCTGAGATGAGCCCGGATCATCTTCCTGCAAATCTTGCTGCCTTTAGCCAGTCTGAGGCCTTGTGAAGGGAAAGGGAACAGAAAAGAGAGAGAGAAAGAGGGAGAAAGAAGGAGTACCTGGAGAAGAAATGGAAAGCAGAACACAGGGGAGGCTGATGCAGTAGGCAAGGAGGGAAACTGAGGCAGAAGAGAAGGGCACAGAGCATTGAAGACCTGAAAAATATCACTATGTGAATTGCCAGCCCTTTGTTCAGCCTCAGAATGGATTTTTCCAGGAGTCACTGAGCTTAGCTCCCCTCAGATGTCTCAGACATCAGGGGAAGGAACCCAAACCAGGAGACCTCTCCTGGCTCTTCTTCCCTCTCACCGGAACATTCTTGCTCCCTCCCATCCAGCAGGATGGGGCAGATCCCAGGACAGCGAGCTTCCTCTGAAGGGTACTTCCCCTCCCTGCCATATTTATGAAGTGACTGATTCCACAGTCCCAGAAAAAGAATCCGGAAATAAAATATTGACAACCTAATCCATTTACATAATCAGCCTCTTATTTTTTTCCTACTCACAATTTAAATAACTTATTTATTTAGAGATCAAGCAATGACTGCTAATGAATTTTACACAAAGCACACTAATAACGGGGCCTGTGGAACAGAAGGGTAATCACAGCAAGAATTAGTTTTCTACTTAAACATCCTTCCTTTGCAACATATCAATCTAATGTGTCTGATATTGCCATTAACAACCAGATACATTGCTCAATTAAATTACAAAATGAGCTGCAAAGCCCTCGTTACATTTCATGTTTAATTTGCACTGGATTCTGCCTATCCGGGGAGGCCTGCATTATTACACCCACTCAACTTTAATATGCTCGTGATGATTTGGGGTGGGTTAATGCAGCTGTCACCTACGAAATTCATGGAGGCAATTTTACAAAGTATTAAACACCAGGCAGCCCTTTTAGGTGGGGAACCCAAATGTTACCCTGCCCTTCTACTGAATTCTTCTCTGTAGCTTGATTGGCAAAGCCTGCTAGCAGACCCTGAGGCTTTTGGGATTTCTCTCTGCTCCAGGAAGCAGCCCCCAACAGGAAGAGGGGTTAGGATTACGTCTCCATGAAGGACATCCTCGCATTGAAGGACTTCTGGTCAAGGTGCTGGCATAGGCAGACATGGCTCAACTCTTTGGACGACCACATCAAAATTACAACTAAAATATAGAACGAGCATCACTCAGAGCCATCAGAAATCGAGTGGAATGGAAGTCTGACAATTACAGAATTAAAGGAACAACATCCATCGAGACAGGTAGAAGGGGTGCAGACATGGAATAGGCTGCTCCCTCACCCACATGTGGTAGATAAAAATTTGGGAGAGATATCTCAGGAGTGAGGAGTCCCACCCCACACCAGGTCCCCTGAGCCCAGGATTCCAGGGCCAGGAAGACTAAGTCCCCATCACTTCTGGCTGCAAAACTCCACAGGGATTGAGTTGGTAGAAGAAACTTCTGGAGCCTCAAGCAGTTCCTCTTAAAGAACACACAGACAGATGCGCATACTCAGACTTGCTCCCTCTGAGCTCTGAGCTCCAGCAACATAGTATTAGCTTGAAAGGCACCAGAGCTGAAGTGCCTAGCATTAAGGCGAGAAGAGGCTATTTTCCCTTTTCTAAAACTTCCCTGCACAGAACCAACAAGCTGATACCATATCTGAGTCTCCATCAACCTAGCTAACATTGTTTGACCCACCTTGGAGATCCCCAGAGACTCCACCCCACCCAACTTATGGTTCCTCCCAAGCTGCTTTTCCATATGAATGGCTGGTCTTGGCTCATGCTTTGCAACTTCCTAAATCCTCTCAGACAAGCAGCAGCTGGATTCAATGAGCCCCAGGGCCAGCACTAGCAGCAGCCAGCCCAGATTTACAGCTTGGCTTTGTCTGGGAATCTCCAAGCCTAGCACAAGTAGCAGCCACCTCAGATTGCTTTATAGCTTAGGCAGGGTGACCCTGGGCAAAACACAAGTGGTGGCTGATCTTGCCCTGCCCCACCTGGAAAACTCCAGAGCCTGTGCACCCAGTGGATGGCTACAGACCATGTCAGAGGACCACCACCCTGCCCCTGAAAAGCTGATCCTCCACAGAGGGCAGAGGGTGGTGAGCAGTGGTCACAGCCAGTCCTTGTAGCTGACTGGCCTGGGTAAATCCCTCCCATTGACCTGCCAACAGCAATCAAGGTTCAACTACAAGAGGAGGGTGTAGTCATCCCACACAAAGGGCGCAACATGAGTACCCAGCTTGGGTGACAGGGGAGGCTGTGCTACTGGACCCTACAGGACACTTACTACATTAGGCCACACTACCAAGACAAGGAGTCAAAGCAGCTCTATTTAATACCTAGAAACAAAGACAGGGAGGCTGCCAAAATGAGGAGACAAAGAAACTTGGCCCAAATGAAAGAACAGGTCAAAATTCCAGAAAAAGAGCTCAATAAAATGGAGATAAGTAATCTGTCAGATGCAGAGTTCAAAACACTGGTTATAAGGATGCTCAAGAAACTCAGTGAGGACCTCAGCAGTATAAAAAAAAAATCCAGTCAGAAACAAAGGAAACACTTATTGAAATAAAGAACAATTTACAGGGAAAAAACAGTAGAGTGGATGAAGTCGAGAATGAAATCAATGATTTGGAATATAAGAAAGCAAAATATAACCAATCAGAACAACAACAACAAAAAGAATCCAAAAAAAACGAGGATAGTGTAAACAGCCTGTGGGACAACTTTCAGCAATCCAATGTTCACTTCAAAAGGATGCCAGAAGGAGAAGAGAGAGAGAACAAGAAATTGGAAATCTACTTGAACAAATAATGAAAGAAAAACTTCCCTGATTTGGTGAAGGAAATAGACTTGCAAGTCCAGGAAGCACAGAGAGTCTCAAACAAGATGTTATGCAAAGAGGCCCACTCCAAGACACATCATAATTAAAATGCCAAAGGTTAAAGATACAGAGAGAATCTTAAAATCAGCAAGAGAAAAGCAGTTAGTTACCTCCTGGGGAGTTCCCATAAGACTGTCAGCTGATTTCTCAAAAGAAACTGCATGCCAGAAGGCTTTGGCAAGAGATATTCAAAGTCATGCAAAGCAGGGACCTACAGCCAAGATTGTTTTATCCAGCAAAGCTATCATTTAGAATCGATGGGCAGAAAAAGAGCTTCCCAGACAGTAAAAAAACTAAAGGAGTTCCTCATCACCAAACCATTTTTATATGAAATCTTAAAGGGACTTCTTTAAGAAGAAGATCAAAACTATGAACAATAACATGGCAAAAAATATAAATCTATCAACACTTAAATCTAAAAAACAAACTAAGCAAACAAGAAGAACAGAGACAGAATCATGGATACAGAGCGTTTTGATAGTTGCCAGATGGGAGGGGGCTGTGGGGGAATGGGTGAAGAGGTGAGGGGATTAAGAAGTGCAAATAGGTAGATACAGAAGAGCCATGGGGATGTAAAGTACAGTATAGGAAAAGGAGTGGACAAAGAACTTACATGCATGACCCATGCACATGAACAATGGTGTGGGAATTACCTGAGGGGGTGGAGGGGGCAAAGGGGTAAAAATCAGGACAACTGTAATAGCACAATCAATAAAATATCATTAAAAAAGAAAATAAAATCAATAAAAATTAAGAAAAAAAATAAAAGAAAATCGAGAGTGCCAATGAGGCATGGTCTACCGTGTTGCATCCAGCCTATTGGAGTGCTGCTCCTGTTCCTCTCCAACAAATGGGCTACATTCCCTCTCACATGAAAGTGGCCTGAAACAAAGCGGTCCTGTCCTGGTTCCAGGGCCTTCCATCTCCTGTCACTCCGGGCTCATCCTGAGCGCTTCCTTATTGGGGGAGATGGTGAGGACAGGAAGGTGGGCTCGGTGCTCCAGTCCTTCCTGCCCTGCTTCTAAAGACCCTGTCGCTCTGACAGAGATCAGGGAGGGATGGATCCCCAGCTGCTACCCGCCGGGGTCTGTAGTTCATACACCCCAAGCTCATGGAGATGAATCTGGCTCACAAAGAGATCAGATCTGGCCTGAAGACTCCAGGCTGGGGGAAAGCAACCCCACAGCTAACGGTGGAAAAGCTCTTTCCTGGACATCAGTAAGGATTTGAGGCTGACTCCAGCGTGAGTTGAAGGGGCCCAGTTATGTCAGTCAGAGGCAGGAGGACCCAATCTCTGTTTCCTAATGTTACCAGGCCAGGGGAAGCAGAGCAATGGCAAACAAACGTTCCTCTCACCCCACCTTGTCCGGGCAGAGTAACCAAATCTGGGCCAGAGATGAAACATGGATCCCACAGAACCAGGCAAGGTGTGTGAGAGCCTCCTCTGGACTGCCCCTCTCTCTGCTCACAAAGAAACATGTGGTTCACAGTGCGAGGGAGGAGGCTTGGCCCCGGTCACGTGGGCAAACGTCCTCTTCCAGCGCTGAGTTCAGTCACCAGCAGACACACTGGTTGTTTCTCATTCTCCCACAGCACCTAGCCTATCATCATGGCATCCTTCCTACAATGGCAAATGTGCCCACACGGTTATTCCTTCGTTATGTTTTGTGGAGTATCCACTCTGCAAGGCTGGTTTGGTCTCAGGACGTTGGCGTCCTTGTTCAGTCTGCTTTTAGACTGTAGGCCTGTAGGGGATATTAACTGATGTCAGCGTCCTTTTGGTAGAGTTCACAATAGGAACAAAAATCCACTTCTAGAAGACATGGTGCAAAATATGTGAAGTAAGTTGGCACTCTTGGCTGCTTTGGATTATCGGTGCCACTGCCTCCCTGCAGGTGGGCAGAAAGCGGAGAGTGGGTGGAGGTGCCCACCTGCCTCCCCAGGCGAGTCAGTGCAAGCTCAGGGCTCAGGCCACAGGGTTGGGGAGGGGGCGCATTCCGCAGTCCGAGGGTGAGGAAGGGTGACTTGATAAATCTCCCTGGCAGGACTCAGAATGCTTTCTGAGCAAGGAATGGAAAACTGGCAGGAGAACGCTGTGGGCCAGGAAACCTCAGCTGTCCTCTTCAAGGCGGCTGTGCAAGTGAGCAATATGAACCGCAAGGACAATAGTTAATGCCATCCTTACCTGTCCCCCATGTATCCTGCTGTGCAGTGACACTGCCCAGTCACGTGGTCACACTGTCCTCCATGGTGGCAAGGACAGTCCTGGCTGCAGTTCTGGCCAAACGTCCCTGGTGGGCAGGGCTGGGCGCACACTGCTCCCTGAAACAGAGGAGGAAAGACATGCATAGGTGCTGTTTCTGAGATGCAATCCTAAAGCCACTTTCTCCTAGAAGTGGCACAGCTTCTCTGGCTTAAGGGACCACTCCGTTCCTCAGCGGGACTTTCTCCCCAACCACAGCAGCATAGAAAATCAAACATCATGGCCCCAAAGCCCCATTTTAGAGATGGGGAGACTAAGGCCAACTTGTTTATCCAATTATTCAGGACACCTTTATTGAGTGCCCGTTGAATTCCAGGCACTCTACTAGACACTAAGGATATAAAAATATGAGTAAGACTCATTTCTGTCCTTTCAGTCTGTTAAGGAGACAAGCAAACAGGTAACCAAAGCTTGAGGTGCTAAATGTTCTCGCACTGGTATACAATAAAGTGCTGAGGAAAAACAGAGACTGTGGTTAAACATGGTGGTCTGGAAACATACATTTATCTCCACTTCTTTCCCAAACCCAGCTAACATGAGAGTAAAGGGTGGGGGGCATATAAAACTACAAGGACAAAAGGAATAGGAGAGGAGACCATAGAGGACAAGAGATGTCACATGTTGGAAGATGAAAGAGCAGATGGAGGAACTGCTGAGGTTTCTGCTTTCTCAGCAATGCTAAGTGCCTGCAAAGGGCATGTGGGAAGACATCAGATTGCCTGCAATCTCAGAAAAGCTCAGGAATCCAAGATACCAGGAACCTCGGAAGGCCAAGGAGCAGGTGTGACGAAACAGAACTGTTTGAGCACTTACAACACAGGGAACGAGACCCCAGACTTTTGCCTTTTTTTTTTTACATAGCATGATGGTTTCCCTAGACCGGCAGTTTGCTTTTAGAGAGGTTGGCCTGCACAGGCTTTGGACAGCAGGATACCATGCTGAGGGTAGGGATTCCATGAGAAGTGGGGACCCTGCCAAACTCTGCCTGCTCAAGATCAGGCTCTCTGCTCTTGGCTCCACTCGGCCCCCGGAATGCCGGTTCCCGGACTGTGCTCCCTGGGGCAGCGTGCTGGAGGATAGGATTCCTTTCTGGGGACACTGAGAACTCAGAGGAAAGACCCACAGATACTGATATTGGAGGACCCCATCAGTCAACAAACCTGCCCCCAGGCTTCCAACCAGCTTTTATTATGGTAAAATACAAACAGCCGGCCAAGGAGCACCAGATATTTGAAATGAGACTCTAACAGGAAAAAAGATTCTAGCATGAAGACTTGTTAGAAGACACCTTCCAGCGAGAAGGCTCGAACATGACAGAGACCAAAGCAGACACACAGATGAAAGGAACGATGTGGGGAGCAAAGAAAACAGAAGAAAAAGCCTCTGTTATAATGAAAGCGAATACCTTTATGCAGATATATGAAGATATTTGTATCCATGAAAAAACAGAGGCCTAAAATGGGGATATCCAAAGAACAGCAAAGAGCTCTTAAAGAGTAAAACTAAGATGACAGGAATTTTTAAAAACTGAAACAGAATAGCTGGAAGATAAAGAAATCTACAAAACAGGAGCAGGAGTGGGGACAGAGAGAGCAAGACAGAGAAAGAGAATGAGAATATAATAAAGTAAGAGGATCAATCTAGGAGTTCTGACATCTAATTAACAGGGGTTCCAGACAATAGAACAGAAAAATGGAGGTGAGTAAATTAAATGGGAAATATAAAACAAGAAAATTTCCCTGTATGAAAGGATGGAAAGCATTGATTTCTGTATTGAAAGTGCCTACAGAGTATCCAATATAAAAAGTGAAAAGAGATCGACATTAGGCCTACCATTGTAAAATTTTACATTTCTACAGATTAAGTCACATACAAAAGAACAGAAATCAAAATGTATTAGATTTCTTAACTAGAAACTAGGAGACAATGAAACAATGCCTTAAAAATTTGGAGGAAAATAATTTCTAACCTAGAATTCTGCACTCAGGTGGGGGATTCCGTAAAGGCATTTTCAGATTTGAACAGCTGTAAAAAATTACATTTCCATGAACACTTTCTCAGGAAGCTACTGGAAGGTTTTTTTTTTTCCCCTGATAAAAAAGAATTATCCAAAAGAAAAAAAAAAGAGAGAGAGAGAAAGACATGGGCTCCTGGAAATAGGGAACCCAACAGAGGAGAGGTGCACGGAGTTCCAGGATGGCGGGGGAAGGGAGTCCCAGCGTGAAAACCGTGCGGCAGGAACAGAGGCACGCAGAGCGCTGTGAGTACAGCCCTAAGACAAGGCAGAGACCAAAACCAAATCGAGAGGCTGCTGGTGTGTCTGACCTTATTGAGGGCGTTTTAAGAGTTCCAGAGAGTTTTAGGGATAAATTAGTAACAGCACATGTGTGGTCCTATGTACCTAAACATTAAAAAGTGGTTTGACAAAAAATTGTAGTAAAACTCCTTTCAGGGGGTGGGTTGCTTATGTGTGTGTGTTAGAGCCAAATTTTATTCTGCATTAGAGGGACGTCAACAGATTCAATAAATGTCTACGTTGCAAAAAGGAAATGGCAGTAAAGCATGTTATAAAGAAATACGGAGGAAAATACCAGAAGGAGCTAAAAAATTGGAATGTGGTTGCCTTTTGGGAGTGGGATTTATGAGTGGTGCAAGGGATGACTTTCCCTCCCCCTAGTATTAGTCTTGTGGTATGAGATAACTTTTAAAATTATAATATGAATCTTAGATCTGTTAAACAGATATTATAACCTGCTCTTGTCTCTTGCTGCCCTTAGCCTCGCTCCTACAAGGGATAGTTATATCTCTTAATGGGGATCAAGTATTCTCCCACAATTAATTAATCAATTAGTTCAACACACAATTATTAAGCACCAATAATTGCCGAGCCCGAGGAAGCTAGTTTAGTCAGGAAAATCCTGCTGACCAGAGACATCTTTCAATACCATTCAATTTACTTGTAACGAATTACGTGGGAGGCCTTTTAGCTCAGATATCTCCCCCACACATAAGCCAGGCTGTGAGCCTCTGGAAGGGGGCTGGGAGGGGAAAAGGAAGGGACAGTGCAATGAGTGAGTATGTGAGGAGAGCGCCAAGGAAAAGCTATTCAGAGGAGAGTTCCCTCGTCCTCTGGGGGCGGTGTCCCAGGTGTGGCAGGGGCCTGCATTGCTCACCACACCCCACAAGCTTAGGGATTCTTGAGGGGAGAGAGGAGTCTTTCGGGCCATCCTCTGAGTCAGACCTCTGCAGTCCTGGGCTGGACAAGGATGCTCTGACCGTAAAAGAAATATTTTGAGCCTTCTCGGGAGGCTGTGCTTATACCTCCTACCTCCCTATCACGGAGCACTGTGGGACCCTCATGTACTTACACATGCGTGTGCGTGCACGCGCACACACACACACAACTAAGGCCCCTCGAGAAGATCAGTGGGAAAGTGTGATGCACAGAATGTTTCCCTCAATATTTCCTGGGGAAATCAGGTGTTCTGGAGACATCTCGGTCCTCCTTACTGCAGGCAATCTAGGTCTTTAAACCCCTAGGCTCCTCCTCGGGCTTGAGCTCCTGGGGCCTTAAAGAATGTGATACCCTAGAAGGTCTGCTGCCTGGTGTGGTGGAAAGAACACTGGACTCAAAGTGAGGACTTGGGTTCAAATCCCAGTTCTCCCTCTTCCCAAACGGCTGAGCTAGGACAAGTTATATGATTGTTCTAAGTTTCCTCACCTATAAAATGGGAGTGGTAACTCCAGGTTTCCCAGGTGTTTGTAAAGATTAAGTGAGATCAGAGATGTGAAGGAATAGTGCCTTAAAGAGCAGGCCTTTAATATTAATCCCACCAACGTGGACATCTCATGAGGTGGCATGTGGTAGAAGCCCAGTACAACCCGGGACTGAGAAGAGTGGAAGAGAACCACATAACCAGCCAATTACTGCTGGTTAGGAGAACAGCCTTTTGGGGAGAGGCAGCGGGAGAGGGCAGGCAAGAAAGTGCCATCTTAAGAGAGAGCTGTGGCCTTATGGTTTCTCTCCTGCTATTATGAGCTGAACTGTATTCTCCCAAATTCATATATCCTAACTCCCAGCACCCCAGAATGTGACTGCATTTGGAGACAGGGCCTTTATAGAGGTAATAAAGTTAAAATGAGTTCATTAGGGTTGGTCCTAATCCAACAGGACGGATGTCCTCATAAGAAGAGGGACAGGGGGAAGGTCATCTACAAGCCAAAGAGAGCAGCATCAGAAGGAACCAAGCCTGCCAACACCTTGCTCTCAGACTCCAGGCCTTCCGGATTGTGAGGAGGGCAATTTCTGTTGTTCAGGCCGCTCCATCTACACTCTTTTGTCCTGACAGCCCTGACAAATCTGCCATATGAGCAAGTGAGCGCGTGCCTCCTGTTGTAGGGGGATCGCGGGCTGTGTGGCATCTAGGAGGCTGGAGATGAGGTGGGGCAACAGTCCTGCTCCTCTCAGGCTGGTTACACCTGTTAATTGGTTTTTGACAAAATCCGGGTAGTAGCTTCACTTTAAGAGAAACATGGCTACATGGGGCATTAGAAAGCTGGGGGCCAAGATGCTGAAAGGACTCAAGGCCGTGCCAACGAGACAGCTCAGCCTGCCCAAGCGGAAGGCATTACTAGTTATCCCTGTGGTCTCAGGTGGCAGATGCCCTCAGTGGACAGCGAACTTTGCAGGGTGGTGTGGCTGCCGTGGAGACGACCCGGGCCACAGGCCAGGGCACGGAGCTTTCTGAATCATCCCTCTCACACCTGACCTTCTGTGATCCTGCAACCTCAGATCCAAATACCCCTCTTTGACCCGCCATAATACCTGAATCTATTTCTCAGCTCTTCAGGCCCATTGTTTTCATGGGCGTGAGTGTCCGTGCATGCATCCAGCACACACTGTACCCAGCCTCCACCATCGGACCTGGAATTCCTAAGGGGCGATCATACCTCCTTCCCCACTCCATGTCTGTCTGCAGTACCTGCTCACATCAAGCTACTCATACCTGGTTTCTCTCCTCTGAAAGGTCCGAGAGCCCAGAAAAAGAGAGGAGATAATTCCCCAGGCTCTTTGCAAAGCTCCCCCACTGGAATGGGCTCAGCACAGCTGGGCAAGTGGAGTGTCCCGCGGGCACACTCAGGGCCTGGTGGCCAGGGATCTGAGGAAGGGCTGGGAGGCCCAGACTTCCTGGCGGCTTCTCTCCAGCTCTGTACAATACCTCCATTCTTTGCAGAACTGCACTGTGTGGTTAGCAATTGTAGTCTTTAGACCACTGAGTGTGGTTGAAGCCACCGGAGGCCGACAGGAAAGCGAGGCCACAGAGGATGGTAAAGACAGGACCTTTCTGCTCAGCACCCTCCCCTTGGCCCCAGCACTCTGTGGGAGGGACCTCAGGCCTGAGCTGCAGCTTCATGATACTGGGGCTCCGCATGCACGAGGGGGATATTAATAATTCATACAAATCTGCAAGTTAAATGCTGTGTCAAAAATAGAAATGCAATTGTCTACAATAAAATTAAAAACATAAAGTCCCCCAATCCAAAGCTTCTATTGACAGAGTTTCCTATCTTCTGGAAGAACAAACCTCTCACTGTGCCGGGGAGAAAAACAAATGTCTCCGTGTGTTGGCTTCCTCCCTTCCCCCACTTCGATCCCCGGCCTCCATCAGCTTCTCTAGAAGGGCCTTTACAGGCACACGGCCTGCCTGCGGGCTGTTCTCCCCACAACCTGATTGTCCTGATCCGACCCCATTGCCTGCCACTGGGCCTCCGCGGACCCAGCCGGAGGCTGCTGGGACTCTGGAAGGTGGCTGCAGATGAGAGGGGCTTTCCAGTGCGTGGGTCAGGGTGGGAGGAGCGGCAGGTGCGGGAGAGGTGGCAGCAGCCCCTGTGGCCTCCTCAGAAGAGACAGAGAGATGGCCAGACAGACAGCAAGGGTTGGGATTCAGGAGTCATTACACCTGGATTCTGGCTTCGCCTCCCTCTTCACCAGCGGTGTGACCTTGGGCAGGTAGGTCACTTAGCCTCAGCTTCCTCCCCTGAGAATGGAAGATACTAATAGACCAATGGTGTTCAAACCTTTTAAAGCTGGGAGACCCTGTTTTTATGTGAAACCTTACCTGGACTCTCAGTAGACAAAGTATGTGTAGATTAAAATGGAAGTGGGAGTGTGTGGTAGCCAGAGTCTTAATTATTAGGCTTCCCACCCCTAAGAAACCCAAGGGTTCGGTGAAACACAGGAGGAAATCCTATGGTCTCGATCAATTATTTCCAAATGCAGACATGCGGACACAGCTGGCTGCTTCAGAATCATCTGGGGAGCTTATTAAAAGTAGACACCCTGGGCCCCAGAAGGCCTCTGGCAGAGCCTGGCAATCTGTATTTTAATCCCAGCTCCCCGTGACTCTGCTGTGCAGCCAGGTTTGGGTGCTACTGGGCCAGATGATCCCCCAGGTCCTTTCTCATCCTAAAATTTTTGGCAAATCTGTGCCTTTGTTAATGGGCCCTATAGGCAACCCTCCTGTCTGCCCCCTGTGACCGAGATGTTCAGCCTCCTGAAGTATCTTGCTCCTGTTTCAGCAGCCCTGTCCTCCTTGCTTTGGCGACGCTTTGGGCCCCAGTGTGAGGCAGCCAGCTAGGTCCCTGAGCCTCCCCACAAACAGGAAAGTTAGCAACTCGCTGCTTCTGAGGAGCTGGGGTCTGTGGACAGTGAGGAGGGGCACCGATGGGTAGAGCATGTTGGCTAAAAGGGGGCTTGTGGACTGTCTGTGGCACCCAGGTAACAGGAACAGTTGTAGAGCCCTTGAGTTTTCAAGGCACTTGGGACATGCAATGCCACACCTGAGCTTTCTGCCAACCATGGCAGCTAAGAGGGGCAGGGTTGGCCATTGTTAGGCCAGTTTTGCAGATGGGAAAGCAAGAGACCAGCGTAACTGATGGTTGTTTTCAGGGTCAGCCTTGAATGTGAGACCTGCATTTAGGCCTGTGAAGTTATAAATCCCACCCCCTTTCCCACGAGGGTGGTTCCCAGACACAAGACCTGGATTGGTTGAGGCTGCGTCAGAAGCACCTGAAGCACTTGTTAAAATACAGATTTTGGGGCCCACAGAATCAGAATGTGTGTGTGAATGTAGGGGGTGGAGGCTGGGAATCTGAAGTTCTATAAATGCAGGTGATCCACACCCCACTGCCTCCCCACCTCCCCCATCCTTACACCATGCCCTTTCTGCCACTTCTGGCCCAGAGCTTCTGGAAGCTCAAGTGAGTCCCTATGCCCATCCTATGAGAAGAATTCAACAACTTTGCACTTGAGGGACCACAGGCTCAGAGAGGTTAAGTAACTTGTCTCAGGTCCCACAACACTTAGATGGCAGACCTGGGATTCAAAGATGTGCCCATGGCACTACTGGCAGTGTCTTATGATGCCCACAACCATAAACAGAGGGAGGGGGTTCAGGGTGGGAGAGGAATTTAGCCCTCCAGGGTGCGTGTGAGCGAGTGATGCTCAGAGCTCTTACAGCGCCCCCCCCCCCCCCAGATCCATCAGGTCCGCCTACCGTCCAGCCTGGAGGGCAGGCACACTCGCCAGTGATGTGGTGACAGGTGCCCCCATTCTGGCAGGGGCAGCGCAGCTCACAGTGAGCCCCGTGGCTCCCAGGCGGGCACAGCTCCTCGCAGCTGCATGGGGAAACAGAGGTGTTAGATGTGGCAGCACTCAGACCAACGCTTCTGCTCCCTGGGCATTAGCGAGTTCATAGTCAGTGTGAACTGTACTAGGCGCCAGGTCAGCTGAGATGCAGTCCTGCTTCCTGCCATGAGGGGGAAGCAGGGCTCAGATATAATGAACTGGAATGCATGCTTGGGCCAGTACTTGTGGAAGGACTTAAGTGCTTTTAATGTAAAGAGAGTGTTCTTTCAGGGAGGTAGAGCTGAGGAGGACTTCCCTGAGAGGGAGACATTTTACTCGAGTCTTGAAGTTGAAGTTAGCCTCATCAGGAGAATGGGAGGAAGGGCATGCCAGGCAGAAGGAACAGCATGGGCAAAGACACTGAGAAGTGGCCATGCATCCTGCCTTCAAGAATCTGCCCAAATTCAGAGAGAGGGAGAATCTGGGACACCCCCAACCCAAGGCTCGGGAAGGCTCTCAGTTACGACGACAGGCTCACATATAGAAACAGGCATGGTGTCTTGGCCTTTGGTCTTAGCCAAATGGCTCTGGCTTCTAGCAGGAGCTAGCCCTGCAGCTGGCTGGGCACGGGGGCAAGGAACACCCTCAGTCAACGATGCACCTGTGGCTAGAGTCCTTCGGTGCCCTCCCAGCATCTGGAGTTGCTGGGCAGGCCACTGAGCCTTCTGTGTGTGTGTGTTGGGGCGGGAGGCTTCTATCTGGCCTCTGAGGGGGTCTCAACAAAGCAGTCTTAAGAGGTCCCCTGTCAATACAGACTCTCCAGGGGACTGGAGTGAGGGGCTGTCTGGGGTCTGAGAAGAGGAGGTAATGGGGAGGAACAGGCAGAGTAAGCTACCCAAATCTGTGCGTGAGATCTGGCCAGGCTCTCCAGCCCCCACCCATCCCCCTGCACTCTGTTTTAAATGGCCTGGAAGAGCTAAGACTCGGGTGAGCAGAGGCATTTGGGTTATGATCAGAAGAGAATTACAAGCCAAGGTCTGGGCCCTGACCAGGAAGGGATTCCTGGGAGGAGTTTAATGAGCTCCTCTGGCCATGGGAGAGCCTACCCATGCACAATCTAGCTTGTTCCAGTCACCCCAGGCCTGGGCAAGGTCTGGGCGTTTCGCCTCTGCAGAACTTAGGGTGAGAGAGTGTATTTTACAGCCAGGACTGTCCTGACCTTCCATCTGTTACCATGGCCCTGCCCACCTGCAAGGAGCAGGTGGGGACCATGCAGCTGCCAAGACATCAGCTGGACCTGTGCTCCTTTCCACCCCCACAGCCACTGTACTCACTAGACACCAGTGTAGCCGGGTGCGCAGAGGCACTCGCCGGTGCGGGGGTCGCAGCTGGCGCCGTGGTGGCACTGGCACGGTAGCTGGCAGCCCTTGCCGTGGGTGCCGGGAGCGCAGAGCTCTTCACAGCGCCAGCCGCGGAAGCCAGCGGCACACACGCAGGCGCCGGTGATGGGGTTGCAGAGGGCACCGTTCTGGCACTGGCACCGGTTGCTGCAATGGGGTCCCCAGTGGTCACTGTCGCAACCTGCAGGAAAGGAGCAGGTCAGGGCTGAGGGACCCTGTAGGCTCTCCTTGGGATGGGCATGGGGAATCTAAGCCCAAGTTGCCTCCCATCTCAGCATGGCTCCTCCCCATAGGAGGCAGCAAGGGGTGTCTGAGTGGAAGCTTTGGCTCCTCCTGAAATCTCCATCAGCTCTTCCCCAAGCCAGGGGAATAATCAAACACACAAGATAAGAAGCTTCTTTCTTCAAGGCGTCTCTCAGTCGGGACCATTCCATTCCAACCAACGCCTCCTGAAACCCGCTCTCCTGTTCTGAAATGCTGGAAGTGCCAGCTGCTTACCGCCCTCTGCCTTTGCTAAGCACTTCTCAGTTGGCTGTCTCTGTTCCTCTCAGCCAGGCCCTTTTTCCTAGGGTCAGCCACAGCTCTTCTCTGTGGCCCTATTCCTCTTGGTCCTTCCCCAGCCCAGCCCAGCCCCCATCTCTCTATCTTTCCTGCCCCTTTCCCTCTCTTCCCCAGACTCATTAGTATTCTCACCTCTTGCACCTCACTCTCCATGAGTGTGTCTTCTAATCCCCGTCCCTCCCCGGACTCCGTCTTTGTGTCACCCCTCCTGTCTCCCTCTCCTGCTGCTTTTCCCTTTCATTAATGCCCACAGCCCCGGTTGCTTCATCTTCAGTTCAATTTCATTACTTTTTAAGCAGCCAACTTCAGGAGGAGCAGGACAAAGAAATGTTTCCCTGGGAGGGGACAGACAGCCTTCAAGATCTTTATATGTAATTAAATGTTTCAAAGAGTGAAGAAATTCACTCTGTAGCTGTGGGAAGTGGCTGAGTGGCAGGGCCCCAAGTAGGTCTCCCAGCCTGTTGCCACCCCAACTCTAATCCTCACCTGGTGCACACAGGACACAGAACAACAAGATGTCCTCAAACCCTTGCCTCATTCACTCAAGTCCTGGAGCAGGGATAAATGTGGAGTTCAGGCACGGACAGGCACAAATGATGTTCTAGGAGATGCTCAATGGACAGGAAGATTGCTCCTAGCTAAGCAGACCAGGCAAGACTTCCTAGAAAAGAAGGCGCCTGAAGTGAGCTGTAAAAGAGGCCTCACTTGTCTGGCTATCATGGTGACCGGCTGTCCCAGTTTTAGCAATCAAAGTGCCATATTCTGAGAAATCCCTCAGTCCTGAGCAAGCTGGTATAGCTGGTTACCCTACTGCCTGAAGACAATGAGATGATTAATTGACCTCTGTGCTCCAGTAATTCTAGGGTTTAGACACTCAGAGAGAAAGAGGGCAGATGAGTGGGAGTGGGACGGTGTTATTGGGGAAGGCTCAGTATACGCTAAGAGACAATGGCGCTCAAGTGCTGGGCATGAACAAGAGCACAAGGTTCACCTTGGCCGTGTGCCTCAGTTGGTTGGATCTTGGTCCCACACACCAAAAGGTTCTGGGTTTGATCCCCAGTCAGGACACATACCTAAGTTGTGGGTTTGATTCCTGATCGGGGCACGTACGGGAGGCAACCAATTGATGTTTCTCTCTCAAATTGATGTTTCTCTCTTTCTAACTCTCTCTCCCTCCCCTTCCTCTCTCTAAAAAATCAATAAACATCCTCCGGTGAGGATTAAAAAAACCAAAAAAACAAGAGCAGAAGGTTCTAGTGAAGCCAGTGAGTGGATCTTTGGGGACTACCAACCCCCTGCATATGTCTCCCACTTGCTGACTAAGGTCAAGTGATCAATGTCCTGGAGCCTGTCCATCATCCTTTGGTAGATGGAACCACCCTAGGCTTAGAATGCTAATCACCCTACTATGCTTTATCCTTTCTTTATCCATGCCCCAAATATTCACATACAAACTGAGCTGCCAGATTATGAGTGAGCTTCACTCTGCATTTTCCACCTTATACTACCATGAGTAAGACACAAATCAAGCCAAATAATCAAAGGAATTTTGAGGAAAGAACAAAGCTGGGGACATCACGCTTCCTGATTTCAAACAGTATTACAAACCTCTAGTAGTCCAAACAGTATAGTATTGCATACAGACACATAGGTCAGTAGAACAGAATAGGGAGTCCAGAAATAAACCCATACATATATGGCCAACTAATTTAAACAAAGGAACCAAGAATATACAATGAGGAAAGGACAGTCTCTTCAATAAATAGTGCTGGGAAAACAGCCACATGCAAAAAATGAAACTAGACCACTGTCTTATACCATACAGAAAAATTAACTCAAAATGGATTAAAGATTTGAATATAAGACTTAGAACCATAAAATTCCTAGAAGAAAACATGGGCGGTAGGTAAGCTCCTTTGACATCAGTATCAGTGATGATTTTTTTGGATTTGATATTAGAAGCAAAGGCAACGAAAGCAAAAATAAATAAATGGGACTACATCACATTGAAAAGCTTCTGTATAGCAAAAGAAACCATCAATACAATGAAAAGACAACCTACCGAATGGGCAAAAATATTTGTAAATCATATCTGACAAGGGTTAATATCCAAAATATATAAAGCACTTATACAACTCAATAGCAAAAAAGCTGACAGTCTAATTAAAAAATGAAAAGAGGATCTCAATAGACATTTTCACAAAGAAGACATGCAGGTAAATAATAGGTACACGGAAATGTGCTCAACATCACTAATCATTAGGGAAATAATACAAATCAAAAACCACAATGAACTATCACCTCACATCTATTAGGATGGCTATTATCAAAAAGACAAGAAATAATAAGTGTTGGCAAACATGCGGAGAAAAGGGAACCCTTGTGCACTGTTGGTGGGAATGTAAAAAGGTACAGACACTATGGAAACACTATGGAAACAGCATAAAGATTCCTCTAAAACTTAAAAATAAAACTACCATGTGATCCAGCAATTTCACTTCTGGGTATTTATCTGAAAGAAATGAAAACATTAATTTGAAAAGATATCTGCACCCTCAAGCTCACTGCAGCACTGTTTACAATAGCCAAGACGCGGAAACAACGTAAGTGTTCATTGATGGATGAATGGATAAAGAAAATGCGCTATATATACATATGATGTGACTCCAATGTAATAATAATAACAACAGCAACTGCATTTTAAACGCTTACTTGTGACTTTTAAAACCCTGTGAACTAGGTGTTTTATTTCTCATTTTACAGACAGGGAAGTGAAGAGTCAGAGCGGTTATGGGGTTGCCCTGGGATAGAGTCAAGGGTAGGCCCAGATCTTCTGGCTCCAGCTCTCCCCACTGCCAGTAAATGGGACCCTTTCTGAATGACGATGTTGAGGAGAGAAACTTAGAGGTACCATTAGGGACAAAGTGGCAGCTACAAAGCACAAGGGCAGGGACCCTATGGACACTAGCCACACACTCTCTGTTCATCACTGTGAACAACCCCAGGATCCAGAACAAGGGATTCCCCTCATTGTTAGGGCCATGACTCTACATTAGACTTTGGCTTACTCTATATTGGACTTTTGGAGTCCAAAGCCAGGTTGTCCCCGGTGCTTTCCAGGCCATACGGTTATGCTTTGTTTATTAGCCAAAACCCAGTAGGAAGCGAAACTATGCCTCTGATGAGGAGCGGGGACACTGTCATGAAGCCCATGCACTAACACCTGGGCGCTTTTGTTTTCTACTTGGTCTTTCAACAACATTTACCAAGCACCTGCTAGTGCCAGAAAGTGTCCTACCCTCTTGGAGTGTACAGTCTAGTGAGGACAGCGCTGCTGGAACAGCATTTAAGGCATATGGTAAAAGGGCTCTAATTGGGGTCTTTCAGGACATTAGAGGAAGACACAGGAGGGTCTGCACCCAGGCTGGGAGGTTTGGGAAGATATCCTTACAGAAGTGGACTTAAGGAGGGATGCAGGAGGGGAATGGATCTAGGCAGAGGAAATAGCAGATGTAAAAGCTTGGAGGTGGGATAAAGTATGACATGAAAGAAAATGAAAAAAAAAAAAAAGGTATGTGTGTCTGGAATATAAGCTTTAAGGGAGAGCAAGGTACGAGGTAAGGCAGCTTCCTGGGCAGGGTACCAGGTCCAAAGGCTTTGTGAGCCATGTTCGGGGTGAGGGCTTCATACTTGGGCCAGGAAGCTCTGCATGTGTTCTAAGCCGAGGACTGACACGATTAGGTGTGGCTGTGGAAAGAGCTGATGAGATTAGATTTGAGGGCCGGAGCGGGGAGTAGGAGTGGTGTCAGGGGAACCAGCTTTCATAATAAGGAAACAGATGGTGGTAGCCTTGACTTAGGTAGTAGCATCTGGGAGGGGCAGAAGGGGACAAGATTCCATCTGCATTTATGGGTAGGAGCAGCAAGGACTTGGTGATTGACAGGCTGCTGAGGGAAGGAAGAAGAGGGACAGTGGTCCAGCTCTGGTTTAGACTGCTGGGTAGATATTGGTATTGCATTCTTTATAGGACACGCAAGGGGAAAAGAAATATTGGAGGAGAGAGAATGAGGTCAATTATGGTCATTGTCTAAGGGACATCCAAGATGGCATTCAAAACCCATTCACTTACCACTAAGTGATGCACTAACGCTTGTGCGCTTTCATTCTTCTACTCATCCATTCAACAAGCATGTAGCAAGTGCCTGCTAGTGCCCTTTTGGAGTGTACAGTTGGGTGGGGACAGAGCCACGAGAGCAGCATTTAAGGTAAACCATGGGAGTCCAATCCCAAGGGCAGGCAGGGCACTAGACAAGCTTGTGTAAGCACCCTCCTACTCAGCCTGACAACATGGGCTCCCAGACCACAGGCTGGTGTGTGAGTGTGCACGCACATGCACATGCATGTGTTTCACAGGGCCCCAAGAATAAGCAGCAAGAGTGCTATGTCACAGTAGGAAACCAAGGAAACAAACAAAACGCTTATAGGCTAAAAATCAAAGCAATTGCAGCCATCAGTATAGGGGCAAATAGCCCCATGTATCCAATTTAAAATACAGGGTCCAACACAAATATGCCCTTTTTTTATTACATAAAAATTTTTTATTACAGAATCATAAGCGTG